GACATCACCGTACAGAACGTATGTGTTAAACCAAGATTCTCGTTTGTAACAAAAATTTCGTCTGTATAAATGGGGCATGATTTTTACCTTATATTTGTTATACGAGTGTTGCGTATTTTTAAACAACGTTTTAATGATTACGTTAATATTTTGTTACGAAAGTTTTGAGTGAAGCAGAGGAAACCCGTCGTTTTGATTATGATTGAATGATGTCGGACTATATATACATACGTCTTTAGCGCCGTGAAGACCTCAAGTGTCGTTACCGTTTTCACAAAATCCCACCACTTGTTTATGTCCTGAATCATTTCGTATTATCTTCCAATTTACGTCTAAGTCTCAAGAGTGTTCACTTCTATTCTTCACGTTTTTCGTTAACTGTTGAATAACCTAATGTGAAGGGTACATTTCAAGTTGTGCATTTAGCCTTCCAATCAGGAATAAGTACCGGTAGATCGTATCGTAGATCGAATTCAATAATTTGTCTACGTTAACCCTCGGTTCAGTTATGGGTAGCGTGCACCGTTGGAAAATCTCTCAAAAGTATTTCTGACGTTACATGTAATATTACGCAACGAACATAGCGGTGTGGTGGTTTGTTCTTGGGAGGTCCTCCGTTCGAAATTCAGCTCCGAGACCACATGTATATTCCGCAAGGAAGCAGTTTGATACTGAAATTTTAAGCTCTTTGTGGATTCGAATCGAGCGGATGCAGTGTCCTGGGTTTTAAGACTGTCCATTTCGCACCGAGTTTTTTCTTGTAAGAAGTTGTCGCCCAGGAACTAGATCAAGCACGTTTTACCGTCTTCTGCCATCTTGTTTCGAAACCACTCGTCATGTTTACACAAGAGAAATTTGAATATGCTTACGTACAATTCAGACTGTCACTTTGAAGCACCGATACAAAACAGAGTTCGAGTTGATACGTTTTAAGGCGTGTTTACTTATTTATTTACGTTTAAAGATTTGTTATATGACAATGCAAAGTTTGCGGCAAACGTGAAAGTGTCCGTTTTCCCTAGAGAAATCGCGTTCCTAAGCTGCAAACTCCGATTGACTGCTTGAAAGGTGTGAAAGGAAAGTTGATAAAATGTGCCGTATCATTTTAAGATTCGTGGATACGAGATGATGCCTTACACTTAAACAGACAAAATTGATGGTACAGGATATTTTTAGTACGTATTAATTAATATTCGGATTATGGTGAAATTATTCTTGTTTTTAACGGGTGGGGGGAGATCATAATCGTAGTAAAAATCCCGCCATTGGCCTCTAATCTGAACAAGTTGAATGTAGTCCATACCCTACATTCCAATTTCTAACATTCATTTTAATAATATTAATTCCTATGTACTCTTACGCCTTACAGGTAATCTTTTTCCTGCAGATGTTGGTAGCAAAGTTTAGCAACGTCGTTTTAAATTAGGAAACCTGAAACAGAAAGCCTAAGATGGAAGAAATAAGATGTGAATTGCGGAACGAATTATATAATGTACCATTAGCTGGTTTTCGTAAATGTAATGAATCTCTGGGTTTCAAGAACACGGGAAATTTCCTGACTATATGAATAATTTTCATGTTTTCAGTAAACATTCTGCACCATGGGACTAATTTATATATCCTGCTCTTTCGCAGTATTAAAACTGAGAGAGAAAATCAATGTTAGGTCTGTAACATCTCCCGCAAAATGTTATTACATTGTTTTTTTTTGTATTTTCGCGTTTGTTTGTGTGCATGCTAACTATGAACAAAAGCACGCTTAAAAAGGCAAGTCGTTTTCTCCGGAACTTGATTGGTTTTCTTCGCGCTTAGCAATAGAACTACATGTGTACATGAAAATGGTTTTAGTACATCATTACTGTTAGCTGCAATTTAGCTTCCGCCACCAGGGATTAAACGTGGGGTTGTTTTGCCACTGGAATTCGCAAGTCTCTAGATGTTTTGAAATGCAGATCTGTATTTAGCAGTATTTTCGAATTGCCTAGAGAAGGAAAGGATTAAAAAGCATGTATGAAAGTTCAATTTTTTTTTTTATTTGACAGGAGGTTGGATTTTGGCCACCATAACTGCCCGGGCTAGAAGATCGAATGATAAATCTAGTCCGGAAGTCAGAGGAGTTTGTCTGGCAAGAGAAGCTTGTCATGTTTTGACATCAGTGGAAACTAAATGTAATACTAACATTGCTCGCACCCTGTCTCATCCGGACCCATTTTAACTTGGTACTCGTTGGTTCCTGGTTTTTATGTGTACGCACGATCTCCAATTTCACTTCGCCACGGTGTGTTATTTGCTAGCCAGTTGGCGTTAAACTCAGCTTTTCTCCCTTCTGTTGTTGAAAGCGACTGTGTTCACCGGGTGCACTGAACTTGTTGTAATGTAAAAGGATTAAAATGAGGAAATTCTTTGTCGGATGGGAAAACATTTCTCCAAACTAAAATAGGAAGAAAACGCTGTGCATACTGGGTGTGAGCGTAGCCGGTATCGTGTGTGTAGCGCATTGTTTGAGGTTCCAGAATCTTGA